ATGTCATGAAACAAAACAAATATACCAAAGTTCAAGGGATTTTTTTGTTTGTTTGTTTACCTTACTTAGTCAAATCCAACAAGTGAAATTTGACCGGATCTTGGTTCCAAAAAAACCAAAAACAAATAACAAACAATAAAATTATAAAAGCTTTAGGAGGGAAGGAAATTTTAATCTGGATTGGCTGTTAAACTAGGATACGTGGTTTTTCCCAGTAGGAGAATGTGCTCTGGAATGAGGAAGACATGTATGCAAAGATACGTCACTTATTGCTGCAATGCATCTTCTCCCTATATCCACCTAACAGGATAATAAGCCACCTTTCACATAGTTACTATGAGGATGTATGAGAAAATATGCATGAAGAGCCTAAAGCAGAGCTGCCATATAGCCGAGAATTCCAGTAAATGTTAGTTCTTATTACTCCTGTCGACAGCTCTTCACACTCTAGTTTTCTGCTTCCCCCAGCTTTCCCTACAGTTGCCCCCTTGAGTGGCCATCTTGCTTGGGCTTCCCCAAAACAGGCTGGGTGCAGGATCATAGTGCAAATAAGCTCCTGCTTCTCCTTGTGGATGTTCCAGCCTGGCCATCTGATGTGAGCTCTGTTGTGTCATTGTGCTGAGGAAAGTCCTTCACAGCCTGTTCAGGGCCTTCTGCTTTGCCAGCATGACAAATGAAGGTGGCTTCAGCCCACATTCTTACAAAATAAAACCCTGAAGAAATCAGGGATGGTTTAAAGCAGATTTTTAAGGAAAAATACAAAATATTAATAAAAATATAACCCCGGAAATCATTGACATTTAGACTGGTAACAGTTTATTGTGTTTACAACTCATATACAGGAGGGGCTAATGACTCCTAGAAGATAAATAACCATTACTGGGGAGTGTCCAATAATATCAGGTACTGCATTAGATACTCTATAGGTGTGATCATGCTGAATCCTCACAGCAATCCTTCGAGGGAGATATTTCACCCCTTTTACAGAAGATGATGCGAAGCCTCAGAGAGATGAAGGGATTTGTCTATTAAGCAGTAGAGCCACATTTGCATCTGGTGCCCACTCTAAAGTTTGCACATTTATTAACCCAAAAGTTACACCTCGGTGTAGAGCTACCTGCACAGAAGTGGCCTCACAGAGTCACTTGGTAGTGAGGGTCCATTCAGCTTGACTCTAACTGATATTTTTCCAACCATATCAGCCAAGAAGTACAGTCAAGGTGTCAACTCATGATATAGCCTGCTGACTGGCTGAAACCCAAGCTCCATTTAAGCCCCTGCCTTTCATTCCAGCCATGAGTTGAATTGCTGCTTGCAATCCCTGTAGTGCGATTTCCAAATTTAAAGCAAACATGCGGTCTCCTGGATTCCCTTGAGGATGGTCCCTAACCAATGCAAGAGCATCTGAGTGCTGGTGCTTTAGGCTACTGTCCACTGTAGATGTTAACAGTTAGTCCTCTGGGCTGCCTCTGGCAGTGTCTAAATCAGTCCTCTGTGGAAGTAACCTATGGATTGAGTCCTGAGAAGGGAGCCAGGAGTGGCTTACTTGGAGCAGAATCCTCTCCCAAGCCACCTTCAGTCACTCCAATGGTCCTTTCTGTTTCCACTCCCAGAAATCAGAAAGTGGCTTTCAGCTCTCTTCTCTATGTACCTGGGCTGCTGTCTATCCTGGGTTACAGTCCCAGTCCTTCCTAAAACTACTCTTTCCTCTCCTGTGGCCACTGACCTCCAGGATCCACAAAATGCATACTTTGTTTCCACCAAAAGATCTGATTCAGGATTAGTCTGTTTGAATCAGACTAGTCACACGTTTCTACACAGTGTGCCAAATACATACTCAAAAGCTTCCTTGAATATTTCCTGGAACTAGTTGGGTAAGTAAGTAAGTGCATGCAATAGTAGCCAAGCTTGCAAAGCTTTGTTCTAGGTTGAGAAAGTGATGCCTAAAATCCCACAGAGGGCAAGACAAAGGCAGAGGTGGTTGCAGTATGAGGCCCAAAGCAAATGTTGTAAGAGCAATAGCAAACAAAATGCTATTTGGGTTTTAAAGAGAAAAAACAGAGAAGAAAAAGAGGAAGAAGGAGAAGAAGGAAGAAGAGGAGGAGGAGGAAGAAGAGGAGGAAGGGGAGGGGAGAAGAAGAAATGGAGAGAGGGAAACAAGCCATAAGAGATTATTAATGATAGAGAAAAAACTGAGGGATGATAGAAGGAGGAGGGTGGGGGATGGGCTAGATGGGTGGCACTTGTTATGATGAGCACTGGGTATTGCGTGTAAGTGATGAATCACTGAATTCTACTTTAGAAACCAATATTGCACTGTATATTAACTGTATATTAACTAACTAGAATTTAAATTTTTAAAAATCAATGGAAAAATAATAAATAAAAATTTAAAAATAAGGAAAATCTCTGGTTGTCAGGAGTAACGAAAGATTTCAAGAGGTCATGGCATTTCACAGCATTTTTGAGCCCTAAAAAGGATGAATAAAATTCCTATCTTGTGCACCTTATCCCTTGCCATCCCTACAGATGCATTCTAGATTCCAACCCGGCTAAATCATTAGTTCTACCCATAATATTCCCCACCATTTGCTTCCAACTTGGCTCTTTCTAACTGAATCACTTCCTTTTAACCCACCATCTCCAATTGGCTAAATCTACCTCCCAAGACTCATGGTCCTCCTCTCCAGAATGCTTTCTATTTGGGAGCCCCTAATGGACTCTCATAGCAACATGTGTTTGTCTTTATCTTTGATGGTATAGGGTGGCTATTAGCAAGACTTCTGAAACCAGAATGTCCAGCTGAATCTTGGCTCTGACATCTATCAGCTAAATTACCTTCACTTGTTAAGAGGACTGAGCTCATCCCCACAAAGTACTTAGAATAGTGTTTGGTTATAGAAAGCATCAAAAAGCTACTATCAGCGCCACCACCAGCAGCATAGCTTATATCATTCTGGATTGTAATTCTTCGTTTCATAACCCGACAAGATCTTCTTGAGCACAAGAACTGTGTGTTATGGAATTTGGTATCTTTTACTCTTCATACATTTCCCAGCACATAGTAGCATTTAATACTTACCTGGTAGAACTGGGGGGTGGGTGAGTAGAGGAGTGAAATGAATATGGGCATGTCCACAGGATAAGACCAGAGGACGGCTTTCAGCGCTGACATGCTCTAAGGCATGCCTTGTGTTAAGTGATGAAGGGAGAATAGAGGTCATCAGAAGCAAGGAAGCCTAGACCTATGAATCCTGACATTAGAGGGATTATTCAGATGGGTTTTTAGATCAGCAAGGTTGAAATCAGGAAGTACAGGGATATCCTGGGAAAACAGGAAATCCAGAGACGTGATGCTTGCGTCAGATGGGAATGTGTGCAAGAATTGGAAGATGTTCCTGCAACATCTCAAGGAGGAGAGGAAGTATGACACTGAGAAAAGGAGAGATTGCCTCTCTCCTGTTCTCTACCCCCTGTTATATGCTTTATGTTTGAAAACAAATGCTGTTCATTAACTGATTATTTGAAATCCGTCCCTGGCTTCCCTAGCTTGTAATTTGTGTGAACATGAGTGTGTGTATGTGTTGGCACAAAGGCTTCTTGTTTTGGCCCTGCTGATCTCACTACCTTCCAATCCCCCACCTCCGCCCTTCTGCACCGTATCCTATTTCCATCCTCCTTGCCTTGGAATGCTAGTCTATGTAAGTTTTTGCTATGTGACCTTGGACAAGTCACTTCCTTTTTCTGGACTTTTGCATTTTCTGATACCACATGGAAAAGTAGAACTTTAATCTCTATGCTAGAATTTTTCAAACTTCAAGCCAAAACTCATTAATGGATCAAGGAACTAATTTAATGAGCCAAATATTAAAATAGAAAATAGAACAAATAATAAATAATAATATGTAATACAATAGAATATATATTAGATAGAATGTGTATATGTATACTGGGTCATATGTAAATATATTTCCTACTCCAGATCATGGCCAAGAAAGATTGAAAACACTTCTCTTTAGATCCCTTCTGGCTTTAAAATTCAAGATGTGTAGAATAGTTCCAACTTTTGTTTGCAACTTTGAGGGTGGAAATGAGCAGGAAAAAAATTTATTTTTAAGGAAAAATTATTCATGCCAACAGCCAGAAACTTCAGGTTGTGCTGACAAGGCAGTTATCCTATGTTTCTTCAATTTGAGAAATTATTCATGATAGTGCAATGACAGGTATCAGATTTCTGGGGTAACACAGTATCTAGCCCAAAATTTCACGTTGAGGGGTGGGAGTGGGAGGAAACCCTCTGGGACCTTCAGAGTCAGGCTTACCTTTGGCTGCAGTTCCACATTGAACACAGTGTATCTGCCAAAAGATGAGGGGGAGAAGGAAGAGCCAAGAGGAGGAGAAAGCAGAAAGGGAGAAGAGGAAGTTAATACTTCCTTCTCCCAAATCATAGGACAATTATGTAGTGTTTCCCTCCCCAGTGCATAAATTGCCACCATTACCAATCTAGTGCTATGTGTTAATCACAATTCCTTCTAAAGATTCTGAGGGGACTTCACCCTAATACTGTAACATACGAGAGTGAGTTTTATGGTGGAGTATTAGAACCTAGAATTTTGTTGAGGTCCTGAGTTCGAATCACAGAAAACACAAGTTCAAGTCCCAGCTCTGAAGTTTAAAGTCTGGGTCAGCTCTCAATGGGAGTTTTTTGAATACCTACAAATTTAACCTAAAAATCTGCTTTTCCTTTTCTATTGCAAAGATGATTAATTAGAACTTCTTTGAGTTTCTTATACATTGCTCAAGTGAGTGGATTCCACTGTATGCCATTATAAACTTTACTTTTTTCTCCCAATAGCCTCATGACAGAATTAATTTTATTCCTAGTTTTGGACATGGTGTGGAGAGCTAAGTGACAGGTCCCAGATCACATGACTAGAAACCAACTATGGTCTCTGCCTCTGAAGCCTTTTTTTTTTTTTTTTTTTTTTTTTTTTTTTTTTTTTAAAGGTCTCGAAGGTAGGAAATTTACTTCAACCCTTTGGCTTAATTTCTTCCACACCAGAAGCCACACTGGCTCAAGGGGAGGGAATAGGCCACTGAGTTAACAGTGCTCAGTTTGGGGTTTGAAGAAACCCCCCACCCCAACTCTACCCCACTGCTTGTTCCCCACACCATCAGGGTTCAGTTCCCAGAAAGCCAGTGTGCCAATCAGTAAGTGATCCAATTCTCAGCATGAGTTTAAAATCAACAAGTCCAAGATCAAAGTATCCAGTTATCCAATCAGCAGTGTGATTACATCCTCTCAAACTGTGAAGAAGGGTCATCTCAACCAGTTCTTGATAGGAGGCTACAGGTATCCCCGTGCAGGCCCCAAATGGTAACTCAGCCCAGTGACCTTTCACAAATGGCTGGTTGTGCCTACAGGCTGGACAGATGGTGTGGGGCCCCTGGGGTAAGCGATGGTCCGATGCCTTCAATGAGGCTGTTCCACTGGTCATAGTCCTCTTTCAGGTCAAGGTGCTTCTGCAGGAAGGCCAACATGGCCCTCACCATAATCTCTTGACCTTCATAGGGGTCCAAGCTCCCACGGGTTTGAGTGGAGAAGAATTTACCAATCCAGTTACCAGCCACAAAAGCAAAATCAGTTTGACTCCGATGAACAGAACCAAGCACAGTTATGATTCTGGACTGTTCATGTTGAGCACATATCTTCTTCATCAAGTTGACACTCTCCACTGTTTGGAATTTTTCAGCATTGATAAAGAACACAGGACCTCTGGCTTTGGGGTAAAAGTCATGTTCCAGGGGAAACATCCAAGCATCCAGAGCCACAGCACACCGAAACTGGGTCTCCTTGGCCAAAGCCAATAGAGCTGTAGCCCCGCCAAATGAATGTCCCATCACAGCCACGCAGCTCATGTTGATGCTGCCCTTCAAAGTCGTCAGATCCAACCCATCAGGCAAGATGTTGAGAACAATCTGCCCAGCAGTGACCTCTTGCAGGATCCTCAACACCCGAGTACACTCGCTTACCCTCTGATACACCTGGCAATTCCGGACATGGAATTCCTTCTCCCCTTCTTCAATTTGTCGGTGAGGGATCCATTCCTCCTCCAGCGACTCATTAGTGGCCTGGCTCTCCTCCGGGGCCTGCTTACAGAAACAGGTGGTCGCAGCCGACCCATCCCTGTGTTCTGGTACAGCAACCACAAAGCCGTGGGAGGCCAGCTCCATGCAGAAGGCTGAATACAGCGTCCTGAAGGCTCCCATGCCATGGGAGAAGATGATCAAGGGGTATCCAGAGTCCTTTGCCTTAAACGGGCCGTTCCAGCTAACAGGCAGGCGACACGATCCCACAGCCAAGCTGAACAGCAGCCCGCCCCAGCGCTTATTAAACTGCAGGTAATTGGCCAGGCCAGTGCAGTACTCATAGCGGGGAATCCACAGAGGCTGCTCGGTGGTCTCCTCTGACTCTTGGCAGGGGTAGAAGAGTCGAAAGAAGCTCCCCTGGAGACCCTGGCCCTCCATCACATCCCCGCAGCCTACATGGTGGGGTCCTGTGACAGGTGGGAAGCTCATGGACTGGTTCACCCCCATTTCATCACCAGTTGAAACAAACAACCTGGACAGTGCTGAACTTGATGGCCGGTCAAGTTCTGAAGCCTTTTATAAACTAGTGGTTTTTAAACATTGGTCCTCTTAGGCCTGCTTGGGAGGGAGAGGTAGGGCAGTGGCCCTGGCCTCACCCAGACTTACTGACTCATAAGAAGGTGAATAGCTTCTCAGGTGATTCTGTTTAGTAGTCCCAAAGCTAGAGGACCACAACATTCAACAAAGATGAATAAAAGAGCTTAGGACACACCCCCATCCTTGCCCCCTAAAAAAGTATGCCACACTTGAGTCAGGATGAGTTGATGAGATGACTTTCCTGAATGACTACAGTAGCACTGAATGTTCACAGCACACCTTCTAATAGCAGGCACTGGGCTAGATTCCTTATGTGAACTCTAATTTAATTGGAGTCACATTATGAAGTGAGTAACTATCCACACTTAAAAGTGAGAAGTCTGGGGGTACCTGGGTGGCTCAGTCAGTTAAACATCTACCTTCAGCTCAGGTCATGATTCTAGGGGCCTGGGATGGAGTCCCATGTCTGGCTCCCTGCTTAGAGGGGAGCCTGCTTCTCCCTCTGCGCTCCGCCTCATGCTGTCTTTCAAATAAACAAATTTTTTTAAAAAAAGTGAGAAGCCTGAGTTTAATAACGATTAAAATAACGACTCGATATGGTCACCCAGTTACTGAGTGGCAGAGCCATTGCAACCAGGCAACGTGGTTGCCACTTCCCCACCTGGAAGAAGTACATCAATCTGTGTTTTAGGGCAATAAAAAAAAGCTAAAGCAGCACAAGAGAACAGGGAAGTGTGAAGACTGGACAAAGAGCAAGAAACGAATGGAGAAGAAAAGCCTGGAGACACTGAATACAAATATTCTTCATTTTAGTGCTTTCTATCATGAGCTTTAGAGAGAGAGTGAGAAGAACCAGACACATCATGTGGTATCTAGCATGAAGCAAAATGAGGAAAAGAACACTTAACGTTTTTCATTTCTTGTTAAAAAATGTGACTTTGTCATCAAGGAAAGAGTCAGGACTCAGCGTATGAAGATAAAATCTGCTCTCTGCCAACCCGGGAACATCTCAGACTTTGATGGAGCTTCTGCCATTCAACAGGTAATGAGCTTTTTCCAGTGCATGGTCTCTCCGCCTTTGTCGAATATTAGTTGACCATAGAGTTGAGGGCCCATTTCTGGATTCTCTATTCTGTTCCATTGATCTATGTGTCTGTTTTTGTGCCAGTACCACACTCTTGATGATCACAGCTTTGTAGTACAGCTTGAAATCTGGCATTGTGATGCTCCCGACTCTGGTTTTCTTTTTCAATATTTGGGGTCTTTTCTGATTCCACACAAATTTTAAGAAGTGGAGGTGGGTGGGGGGACAGGGTGACTGGGTGACGGGCACTGATGGGGACACTTGACGGGATGAGTCCTGGGTGTTATACTATATGTTGGAAAATCGAACTCCAATAAAAAAATATATAAAAATAGGTAATAAGCTGCACACCTTCGCCTTGACCTTTTACCTTAGTTTTCTGGGTTTCTTTATCTGCAAAAGAGACATTACAATATCTGCTTCACAGAATTGCTAAAAGTAGCAAATCATATTAAATATTTGGACCTGCCTTGTGAACCATAAAACAGTTGACATATGTCCAGAGACATCATTATCCACCTGCAGTTTCTTCATCATCATTTGTTTGCCAAGTACCCACTGTTCACCCAGCATTGCCTAGACACGGGTAAAAACTCTAATTCACAGGTCACACAACTATGGAAACCAAAAGTGGACCAGCCACGGACTGACTATCCATACTCTGTTTTGTGCACAGCTCTTGTCAATTCAGTAAGTGCTTTCCAGATATTGCAGATGAAACTGCAGGTTAGGGAGGTCAAATGAACTACCTGACCTCATATGTCTTTTGAAAGGCAGAACAAAAAGCAGGAAAGCAGTCCCTTTGGAGCCAAGAGCACTGGCTCCAGATGAATGTGACTTAAATTTTTTTTTTTTTTTGTAAAATACAAAAGATAGGGAAGAGTCCTATTTATTATTACTTATGATCAGTGAATCGTCTGATAGGTAGGAGTTCCAAAGTTCATCCATTGTCTGTAACATTTACATAGAGCTTTATCTCTAAGTACAAATGCTATCAGGTGTTGAGAAAGAATATAACTCCTCTACATTATTTTCCCAGAAACTATAGATTATAATATCATATACGATAAACTGCAATAAAATGTTCAAAAATTAGTCTACTTCACCCAAGTGAATGTCACTCTTTCCTTCCCTAGGTTACAGATTGCTTTCATTTCTGATTCTTTTTTTTTTCTTAAAGATTTTATTTATTTATTCATGAGAGACACAGAGAGAGGCAGAGACATAGAGGGAGAAGCAGGCTCCCAGTGAGGAGACCGATGTGGGACTCGAACCCAGAACCCCAGGACCACACCCTGAGCCAAGGCAGACACTCAACCACCGAGCCACTCAGGCATCCCTCATTTCTGAACAGGACAGGCTGGTTGATTTTTTTTTAAAGCCACGTTCTGAACAGAGTGCTGTTTGCCTTTGTAGTTAACAGGGCCCTGCAGAGGTATCTCCACGCCTGGCCCTCAGGTAATACAAGTCCCAGTAAGTCTCAGGAAATAAAAGTCCCAGTAAGACTGGCCTTCCTCAGGGGGAAGCCTGAGGTCCCCCAGACAAAGCTACTGGAAGCAGGGTCAGCAGTCTCCATCCGCCACCCCCAGGCCCTTAGGTATCTGGCTAGGAAGGACACAGATGCATGTGAGTGGGACTGGCCTGTGCTGGCTAAATTCATAGAATCAATTCACATTTCCAACTTGATGAGTAGGCAGTGTTTGATTCTATGGATTTTGTGGATTGCTAGAGGATTTCTGTAGCAACTACTTAACACTGAGCAAGTTGGGCTTCTCTGAAACCAAGGTTTTTGAGCTGCCTCTTTTGCCTTCCATTGATGTAAGCTCAGGAAATGGGAATTGATTTTATCGTAGGTAGAACTTAATTAGACAGGACATTTGTTACTACAACACCCCAAGCTTCATTTCAAAGTCAAAGCAAAATTATTTTTGTATTATTCAGTGGCTCGGATTACTTAGATATGCCAAGCATCTATTTTAGCAGCACTGTAGCAGAGAGTAGGTTGCAGTTTGAAACCAGTTAAATTTTTTTCACTCACTTTATATCAGATACTTGATAATAATCCGGAAGTTCCTAGAAAAGGTGGGGTTAGGGGAACAAAACAATCATGGGGAATGCTGGCAGAAATCATTATAGGCTGCCACTGGGGGAATGGAATTTGTAATAGACTACACATACCTGTTCTCTTCTGTGAATGGTGAAGTTACAAAAAACCCAAAGCCAGCCTTGCTTAACATCATGGACTTGCTTATAGCTGGTATTTGGGGAATAATTCTCATGCCATACTTTAAAAAAAAATTATTTATTTGAGAGATATATATAGAGAGAGCATGAGTAGGGAGCAGGGTGAGGTACAAGCAGACTCCCTGCTGAGCAGGGAGCTCCATGCAGGGCTCAATTCCAGGATTCTGGGACTGACCTGAGCCAAAGGGAGACGCTTAACCAACTAAGCCACTCAGGTGTACTCCCATGCCAGATTCTTTTCAAACAATTAATCCTCCCTAAAAATCAGCAAAAGAAACATAATGATTTATATTTTACAGATGAAGAGACTAAAGTTATGAGTGGTTGAGTGACTTGCCTGAGGTTTCACAGCTAGTAACTGGCTCAGCTGTTAGAATCTGAATTTGCCCAATACCAGAGCCCATGACTGAATATTTTCAAACTAGAGACTTGACTTATACACTGTAGTTAATTTAAGGCTAAGAGATTTAGCAAAGCTCTATTAGCTAAAAGAGAAAAAGCTGCTATTTGATAATAAAAATAGCAACAACTATTGAGCACCTTTTTATTTATTTTTATTAGTTTCAGAGGTATAATTTAGTGTTTCATCAGTTGCACATAACACCCAGTGCTCATTACATTAAGTGCCCTCCTCAATGCCCATCACCAGTCATCACCAATTATCCCTTCCCCCATTCACCTCCCCTCCAGTAACCCTCAGTTTGTTTCCGAGAGTTCAACAATTCTTATGGTTTCCTCTCTCTCTCTAAATTTTCATCTTATTTTATTTTTCCTTCCCTTCCCCTATGTTAGTTTGTTTTGTTTCTTAACTTCCACATATGAGTGAAATCATATGATATTTGTCTTCCTCTGACTTATTTCGCTTAGCATAATATTCTCTAGTTCCATCCACATTGTTGCAAGTGGCAAGATTTCATTCTTTTTGATGGCTGAATAATATTCCATCTATATCTATACATAGATATATGTCTGTGTATCTATATCACATCTTCTTTATCCATTCATCATAGAGAACTCAGAAATGGTCCCTCAACCCTATGGTCAGCTAGTCTTCAACAAAGTAGGGAAGAATATCCAATGGAAAAAAAAAGAGTCTTCAATAAATGGTGCTTTCCCAATAAATGGGAAAAATGGACAGCCACATGCAAAAAAATGAAACCAGACCACTTTCTTACACCATACACAAAAATAAACTCAAAATGATTGTTGGGCACCATTCTATGTCTCAAGAATGTTTCCAGGCATCTCATATCCTTTATTTTATTTAAGCCATAACATAGCCTTAGGATTGTTGCCCATCTTTGTAGATGAGGACAGTGACACTCAGAGAGGTTACCTAGAAAGCTTTTGAGGATCAGTTCAGGGTCTCTCAGGCTCCATACAGGAGGATTAGGTTATGGATCCAAGCTGTGGGTAAAGCTAGGATACAAAATTATAAAATCATAGGACCTTGGAGCTGAAAGGGATAGTCAAGGTGATCTAGTCTAACTCCTTCATTTTACATGTGGGAAAACCTAGGTTTAGAACCTTACCAAAAAAAAAAATCAGACATCATCCTGTTAGTTGTAAATCTAAGACTAGACTCAGACTCAATTCAATCAATTAATTTTAACTTGAATGCCTCTTCTGTGCCTC